ATATTAAATGCGAAACAATAAAAAGTAAATTGTTCATATTAAATTTTGATAATCTTAAATCAATATTAATTGATATTGACATGTCTAACTTTTTTTAAAATTTGATTATTCGTTTATTTTATTTTAAGATTAGAATTTCAATTTGTCTGTCTGTCCTTCCTTAATCTCTAGAACGGAATTATATATAAGAAAGCTGAGACGAGATATGGAAAACTTAGGGACAAGAGATTTCAGATTAACTGTATATAAACTTCCAATGTAAAACGGAAGTCACGTTATTTCAATTCAAAAATTTTCCCCTGAAAGATGATTGGCACGACTCTATTGCTAACAGGAAAAGTATGATGTACAGGGGCAAGACATACTAATTTGAGATTGAGAATAAACTTATTTAATGAATATTAACAATATATGTTAAAATATTTTTAATAATTTGTCAGTTTTTAAGTTATATAGTCTGTTATTAATCCCTAACTTCATTACACATAATTTATTCAGTAGCGAAATAGAAAAAAGGTTTTGTTAATTTGTAAGGAATGTAAATAAATCTAGAACGTTTAGATTATTATTTATTAGAGAGAGGAAAAAAAGAAACACAAAAGAATTAATCGAAAATGGAAATTACTAACTCCATAGGAATATTTAAAAAAAATTAATTATTTTAATGCCAATCTGCATATTACGAATTAAAAATAATTCGAAAATTCTCCTGGGTTATTCCGTTTCTTTTAGTAAATTAAATGGTATTTTCTATCGATGATCTTATTTTAATATATTTTACGACTTTAGTACTGTAAATTACATATATTTTTTAAAAATTATCTTCGATTATGATAATGATAGAACGAGCTTTTAAGAAGTAATATTAAAGAAATTAATTAAAATCATAAAATAAAAATAAAATTAATAACATAAAGATGATTGCATTTTCAGTTGCCACAGGCATTATATATTTGTATAAGATCAGTTGAATGTCGTAGTTTGAATACTCTGAATTTTCAATTTAGAATAGTATAAATACACAAAGTATTATTGATGTTTCTTATTTTTAGAATTACTAAAGTCAAAATATTAAAAAAAAAGTGGATTATCTGATGTTATATTTTATATATTATTTGAAATTCAATAGATTTAAGTTTGTATGAAAATGGACTTTCTATTTTGATGATACTTTCCTGCATAGAAAACAATAAAATATGGTTTATGTAGCAAATTTAATTTAATCATTTAACATTTTAAAAATTACACAACGTAATTTAAATTGTATAAAACTGACATTCTGTAATACATTTTAAACACATTTATCTAATTTAATGTATTTAATATTCTTTGAATTATTTGGTAGTTTTGAATTTTGGAATATTTTTTCTGCATTAAATGTAAAAAAAATTCAGATATTTTAGATAAATCTGATTTATATATATATATAAATCATATTATTATATAAAATTTTATACATAAAAAAAGTACATATTATTCAGAATGGCGACAGAACTTCGCCATAAACGTTTCAGTATGAATTTAGATATGAGTTACTTTGTATATTCTATAGTAATCACAACACGACTTTATGTGGTTCATATTTTGGATTGTAAAGAATCGACAGTTTGATTAATTTAATATATAAAATTATAAATTGTTTACAATGACATTTTAATTATAAAAAAATATAAAGATGTCTTGAGAAGAGGCAGTACGAAAAAAAAAAAGATATTTAAGGTTTTTTTTCTATACATTTACTAAATATTTGACCTTTTGACCTATGTATAGTTGTATTCTATATTGCAAATCATGTATTTGTTTAATATCACTTGTAATTCTTACTTGTTAGTGTGATTGACTGAAAATAAAATGTGATTTGCTAAATCTTGAACAGCAGGTTCAGGTTACTATTTATATAACTTATAAATATTATTTAATAGAACATATTAAAAATATAATTATAAAATCACATACCAGGATCTAAGTTATTGAGTAATGGCGTAGGAGTTTTAAAATAAACTTTGTTTTATTTATTCAATTGAATTTTATTGAAGCGTTAATGATTTATTCACGAATAAACTAAAGTTTCTGTTTTTTATTCTAAATTTTACTGACAAAAAATATGCCGGCTGAATTCGATAGTTTAGTTTAAATTATTTAATATACTGTACACAATACTATAATGTTTTAGACTATTTATTGGTGTAAGTACACAGTACTTACTTATACTAATACATGGTTTTACTTTATTTAAATTTACTATTATTTTCTTTTCAAGACATCTTTTACAAGATGGGACATTTATTAATATGATAATCATTAATGTAACCTTATCTGAGCTCTGTTTAAAATTTAATTATGTTATAACTTTCGTATATGATAATATTTTTGCACCATGTTCTTGCTTAGATTAGATTTACTGTCATATTTATGCCACTTTATAATGCGATATTGCTGAATTTGATCTAAAGAATATTATTATGTAAAAATATTATGCTATATATTATGTTATATAGAAAATTTCAGAATTTTGAAATAAAATCGCTATTCTAACACATATTTTCATGTAAATTGATATATTAATCATACTTCTCCATCGACTGTCATCATGTCTTTGTTGTTTTCCTCTAGGACATGAATATAAAGAATGGCAAGATTAAATTAATTTTTATTCTACATAATATATTACAATTATATTAAATTGTTTTATAAACAGGAAAATATTTATCTTTCCAAAGTTATTAAAGCTTTCCATCAATATTCAGTTTACTAAATACACTAGAATCATTAAGATAATCTTATAGTTTTGATACTTTTTTTTAAATATTACAAATAGGCTAATTATAAATAAAATAACAGTTATTTTCATAATTAGAGAATAAATCTGCATATTTTTTTAAAAAATAATTCTTCATTTTAATTACTTTACAAGCAACATAATAACAGAAGTTTTCTTTCATTTCTTTATTTATTCAAAATTTGTTAAAATGTAATAATACATGTAAGATGTAACAAATACAGTATATATTATATTAAAAATTTTATTGTTCTAATTATTATTTTTTTACTTTTTAATTGAAATCTCATAAATTAACAAATAGAAAAATAATTTCTTTTTACTTAAGGCCCAATTTTTAATTGTTTTTCTTTAATTTTTTCATTACAAAATGAATAAAATAATCGTATTTCTTCTGACTTTTTAAATATTATTTAATACGTTAATATATATTAGAAAATTTCAATTTTTTAATGTTAATCTGACTCGATAATTAGTATTTAAATTACTTTATTATCTGTTAATTTAGATTTTAAAATAATTGAAAATTTGTCCTAGTTCATACGTAATATCGACTTTTTATTATTATTATTTTTATATATATATATAATTTAATTTATAGATCTACATTCAATGCATTAAGCGAAAAAATTCTCTATATTGATTATAAAAATTAATTCAAAATTAAAGAAGGAATGCTTATTAGATTAAAAGAAAGTTGGAGGTTGTAATCGTTTTCAATGTCGTTTTTCAACGTTAAAAATTTAAATTGAATCACTCCCCGTTATCGAAAAGAAAATTAAAATCATGTTCTGAAAACAAATGACTAACCTCTATAAATATAAATGAAATAATAATAAGACTCCATTATTTTAAATTATATGGAAAGACAATTATGCTTGTTATTTAATTACAGAATTAGAAGAGGTGAGTTATTAATACCACTAATATAGTTTTTTTTTTGTTTGTTGTAATTTAATATTTTATTATGGAATTTTTTTCTAAGTTTAACAATTAATTTTTGATTGATCTATTTTTATGTGCTAAAGAAATTTAACTAATTCGTCTTTTCCTGTGAAAGTTTAAGCTTGTTTTTGGAAAATTTGTTACTATAAATTTATACGAAATCGTTTATTTATTCGTGTCTTTCGTAAACAGAGAGATGAAAAGAAAATATTAAGAAACAACTCTAAATGAAAGTTTTTATCTGTTAAGAATTGAACTGAAGTGAAATAAGACTTGCCATTTTTTGCTTCATTTATTGGTTAATTGCACAATAAATACGTTGAGAATAAAGAATAGGTTGAAACGGATCGATAAAAGAAAACATTTATATTTCCTCGTTTCTCTCTGTGAGTTGGACCAAATATTTTTACCAAAACTGTTTGTTTTCTTCTTAGTTTTCTGTCCACTAAAATATTTATAATACTTCTTTATACACATTCTAAATATATTATTATTAAATTATTTATGTTATGTTTACTTTAACAAAACGAAATTCTTTATAATTCTTTTGTAATTACTATTATTATTATTATTATTATTATTTAGAATTGAGGTTAACGTTATTGATGTTAGTTTTAACGTTTAGTTCTGTTCTAAATAGGCTATTTTGATTTAAAGCGATATTGTTTATGATATTTGCATTTTCACATTTTTAATTAAATTTTATGAACATATATTTACATAATTTTATAAACTTTCGTGTTATGTGATTACTCTTTATTTATGGGAATCTTTCCTATTTTATAGAAGTATAGTAAAACCTGTGTAAATCGAATATTTCCCCGGTTTGGCAGGTTTCATTTTGGACAGGTTTCACTGCATTATTCATTAGTTAAACCGTATTTTATCATTATTATTCTTTTTTTTTTTTATAAATTGTTTTTTTAAATGGATATTAATTGTACTTAGTAAAAAATAAATGTTTTAATATGTAGTGAAATGCTAAATATACCGTCTGAAATTATTTTTAATTTTAGTTTTTTTATTCCTTATATAAAAATTCATTTCGAAACTAAAACATATTAAATTTCTAATATCGGAGAAATTACATTTAAAACGAAAAACATCATAATACTGTAATAAAATTTTTAAGAATATGTCTATAATAGTTTTCCCTATTTCTAGAAGAACATTCGTATGATTATTACACGAGATTTAAATACATAATTAAGTGAATAATTTTAAAAGTAAAAAATTAAATTCAAATGTTTTCTTTTTTTTTTTTTTTTATTTATAGGTTTCAGACCCCGTCCAGCAGGCCCAATAAATATTTCAGGTCCGTTCTTTGTCATGTGGTGGTGACTTCTAAATAAAACCCGAAAAGTGTATATGTGCCATTCAATCCTACACTTAGTATGGCCATGGTAAACAGTCTAACGAACGTAAAAGATTCCCGTTGGCTTCAGTTAGAAGTATGTCGAGAGTTTCAAAGAAACAAATGTACCCGTCCCGACACAGAGTGCAAGTTTGCTCATCCACCTGCCAACGTTGAAGTGCAAAACGGACGTGTCATCGCTTGCTATGACTCAACCAAGGTATTTTTCTTTACATATTTAATACTCTATATGAGAATTCCCGTCGGCTATTTATTTTAAATGATACATCCTTTTACTATATATTATTTACGTCAAACAAATATTCGTGTCAATTTATTCATTGTGTGATTTAAAAGTCTTGAAGTTTATATTTAAATCTTTAAATTAATTCATGAAAAAATTAAAAGTTTAATTGGTTAATTAGATTAACTTAAATAATATATTTTCCTTTTATTTTAAATATGTAATTTTTGTATTAATCTATTAATTATTGATAAAAAAAAGGGGGGAGGGAAAATATTGAGTATATCGAGATACAAGAGTTCATTAAAAGATTTCATTCTAATTAGATATTGTTACATATAATTAACCTACCATAAAAGCATACTGTTGACACGAGTGAGTAGTTAATTGCTTATCTAAGTACGTAATTATATAATTAGAGCATTGTCCACTATAAACATACAATATTTGTATAATTTTCAAATGTTTATAGTCTGATGATTATTATGGATACAATTTATTATAGTTATAGAGAAGTAATAATAAATAATATACTCAGAGAAGTAATGTGAATGTCGTAAAAGTTTTTAATCAAGATATTGGCTACTTAAACGTATCGATTATCCTTAAACCTTATGGTGTATTCTGCAGTGAAAAGTATTTGGAAAGAAGATAAAAGTTGTTTGCTTAGAGAATGAATAAATCGTATTGTAAAACGGACACAAAAAGACTAGATAGCTTGCATTGTTAAAACGAACGAACAATGCAGCCAAAGTTAAAGGGTTTAGAAAATGGAACGAAGTTCGTAAGGATAATGCAAATGATTCATGTTAAAATGGAAAATGATGTGAAAAAAGAAGATTATTTAATGTGTGTTTGGAATTTTTTTTACCGATTTTAGAATGGTTGTGACGTTAATTAGATAATTAATCCTCAAAAGTTATCGAAATTAAGTAATAGTTAAGATGAAAGGAATGCTAATAAAGAAATTCGATCATTAAGGAATTGGAAATATGTGAAAGTTGATGGTCGAACTATTTTTTAAGATTACTTCGTTACGCAAATTAAATTTTGCTCCAGCTAATATATACATTAGAATAGATCGTAATGAGTTTAGCAAATGTCAAGTTTTATGGAAAATTGTTTATTAACTGCAGTAAAAAATTTAGAGAAATTCACATAATATTATATATATATGAGATTTTGCAAATTTTTCTAAACTTTTTAGTATAGGCTATATATACTTTCTATAAAATGAATACAAATATAAAATTAGGTAAGTAGAAAATACTGCATGTATATTATACAATGGAAAAGTGCATTTTGCTAGCGTTATAATTAACGATTATGATCATAAAACATTGATCGTGTCATCTTCTACTATACTTTCAGGTAAGTTTTAGTAAATTTTATTTACATTTTTCCTTAGTAATGTAGTTAAATATTATTGTTTGATTGATGAACGTACCGGTGTCATCCCTAAACATCGCTAGTTTGAGACTATATAAAGCCCAGCCAGTCAGAATGGAAAATTAATATAAGGACACAATATGATTCTCAAACTTATACTGTAACTAATTACTGTAATATCGGTATGGCAAAGATTTTCTGATACCGAAAATACTCGTAAATTATAAATATTCGTTTTGCAATAAATAACGATAGACTGACTATACAGTACAGTACAGTACGATTCGTTTAATTTGGTATAAACTGTTATTTTTCTGGTTCGAATCAATAAAAGTAAGCGATTTTTAAAACCGAACATTACTGTTAGTTTCGTTAAGGAATTTTTTCCATGTTTAGTGTTTGAAAAAAACTCGATACCAAATGACGTACGATGAATTTACCAAACAGTTTATCGGTTTTTATGTTATATAAAAACACGCTTAATTAAAATAACGTTAATTCAATATTTAATTCTTTGTTTTATGTTTAAATTTTTGATTTAATTCTTTAACAAATGAGAAAATTTATATATATATTTTTTTAATCCTTCGCACTTATTATAAAACAATTTTTTAAATATTACAGTGCTTTGTAATGATTGAAAAAGAAAAGAAAGAGACAAACATTTTGTACAATAATGTTTTACAAAATTTAGAGAAAATAATTTATTAAATATATGTACTGTACATATTACAAAATGAATAGATAAATTCTAAGAAAGCGAAGGAGAATGACAGATATTATTGAAAAATGCTGAAAAATAAAACCTAACATGGAAACATTTAAGCAAATAAATTACTAGTTGTGATATATTTGGCATATTACTCGTATTGTAGGGAAAATAATAAAGTTTTGTATGCATTGNTATAAATTTATACGAAATCGTTTATTTATTCGTGTCTTTCGTAAACAGAGAGATGAAAAGAAAATATTAAGAAACAACTCTAAATGAAAGTTTTTATCTGTTAAGAATTGAACTGAAGTGAAATAAGACTTGCCATTTTTTGCTTCATTTATTGGTTAATTGCACAATAAATACGTTGAGAATAAAGAATAGGTTGAAACGGATCGATAAAAGAAAACATTTATATTTCCTCGTTTCTCTCTGTGAGTTGGACCAAATATTTTTACCAAAACTGTTTGTTTTCTTCTTAGTTTTCTGTCCACTAAAATATTTGTAATACTTCTTTATACACATTCTAAATATATTATTATTAAATTATTTATGTTATGTTTACTTTAACAAAACGAAATTCTTTATAATTCTTTTGTAATTACTATTATTATTATTATTATTATTATTTAGAATTGAGGTTAACGTTATTGATGTTAGTTTTAACGTTTAGTTCTGTTCTAAATAGGCTATTTTGATTTAAAGCGATATTGTTTATGATATTTGCATTTTCACATTTTTAATTAAATTTTATGAACATATATTTACATAATTTTATAAACTTTCGTGTTATGTGATTACTCTTTATTTATGGGAATCTTTCCTATTTTATAGAAGTATAGTAAAACCTGTGTAAATCGAATATTTCCCCGGTTTGGCAGGTTTCATTTTGGACAGGTTTCACTGCATTATTCATTAGTTAAACCGTATTTTATCATTATTATTCTTTTTTTTTTTTATAAATTGTTTTTTTAAATGGATATTAATTGTACTTAGTAAAAAATAAATGTTTTAATATGTAGTGAAATGCTAAATATACCGTCTGAAATTATTTTTAATTTTAGTTTTTTTATTCCTTATATAAAAATTCATTTCGAAACTAAAACATATTAAATTTCTAATATCGGAGAAATTACATTTAAAACGAAAAACATCATAATACTGTAATAAAATTTTTAAGAATATGTCTATAATAGTTTTCCCTATTTCTAGAAGAACATTCGTATGATTATTACACGAGATTTAAATACATAATTAAGTGAATAATTTTAAAAGTAAAAAATTAAATTCAAATGTTTTCTTTTTTTTTTTTGTTTATTTATAGGTTTCAGACCCCGTCCAGCAGGCCCAATAAATATTTCAGGTCCGTTCTTTGTCATGTGGTGGTGACTTCTAAATAAAACCCGAAAAGTGTATATGTGCCATTCAATCCTACACTTAGTATGGCCATGGTAAACAGTCTAACGAACGTAAAAGATTCCCGTTGGCTTCAGTTAGAAGTATGTCGAGAGTTTCAAAGAAACAAATGTACCCGTCCCGACACAGAGTGCAAGTTTGCTCATCCACCTGCCAACGTTGAAGTGCAAAACGGACGTGTCATCGCTTGCTATGACTCAACCAAGGTATTTTTCTTTACATATTTAATACTCTATATGAGAATTCCCGTCGGCTATTTATTTTAAATGATACATCCTTTTACTATATATTATTTACGTCAAACAAATATTCGTGTCAATTTATTCATTGTGTGATTTAAAAGTCTTGAAGTTTATATTTAAATCTTTAAATTAATTCATGAAAAAATTAAAAGTTTAATTGGTTAATTAGATTAACTTAAATAATATATTTTCCTTTTATTTTAAATATGTAATTTTTGTATTAATCTATTAATTATTGATAAAAAAAAGGGGGGAGGGAAAATATTGAGTATATCGAGATACAAGAGTTCATTAAAAGATTTCATTCTAATTAGATATTGTTACATATAATTAACCTACCATAAAAGCATACTGTTGACACGAGTGAGTAGTTAATTGCTTATCTAAGTACGTAATTATATAATTAGAGCATTGTCCACTATAAACATACAATATTTGTATAATTTTCAAATGTTTATAGTCTGATGATTATTATGGATACAATTTATTATAGTTATAGAGAAGTAATAATAAATAATATACTCAGAGAAGTAATGTGAATGTCGTAAAAGTTTTTAATCAAGATATTGGCTACTTAAACGTATCGATTATCCTTAAACCTTATGGTGTATTCTGCAGTGAAAAGTATTTGGAAAGAAGATAAAAGTTGTTTGCTTAGAGAATGAATAAATCGTATTGTAAAACGGACACAAAAAGACTAGATAGCTTGCATTGTTAAAACGAACGAACAATGCAGCCAAAGTTAAAGGGTTTAGAAAATGGAACGAAGTTCGTAAGGATAATGCAAATGATTCATGTTAAAATGGAAAATGATGTGAAAAAAGAAGATTATTTAATGTGTGTTTGGAATTTTTTTTACCGATTTTAGAATGGTTGTGACGTTAATTAGATAATTAATCCTCAAAAGTTATCGAAATTAAGTAATAGTTAAGATGAAAGGAATGCTAATAAAGAAATTCGATCATTAAGGAATTGGAAATATGTGAAAGTTGATGGTCGAACTATTTTTTAAGATTACTTCGTTACGCAAATTAAATTTTGCTCCAGCTAATATATACATTAGAATAGATCGTAATGAGTTTAGCAAATGTCAAGTTTTATGGAAAATTGTTTATTAACTGCAGTAAAAAATTTAGAGAAATTCACATAATATTATATATATATGAGATTTTGCAAATTTTTCTAAACTTTTTAGTATAGGCTATATATACTTTCTATAAAATGAATACAAATATAAAATTAGGTAAGTAGAAAATACTGCATGTATATTATACAATGGAAAAGTGCATTTTGCTAGCGTTATAATTAACGATTATGATCATAAAACATTGATCGTGTCATCTTCTACTATACTTTCAGGTAAGTTTTAGTAAATTTTATTTACATTTTTCCTTAGTAATGTAGTTAAATATTATTGTTTGATTGATGAACGTACCGGTGTCATCCCTAAACATCGCTAGTTTGAGACTATATAAAGCCCAGCCAGTCAGAATGGAAAATTAATATAAGGACACAATATGATTCTCAAACTTATACTGTAACTAATTACTGTAATATCGGTATGGCAAAGATTTTCTGATACCGAAAATACTCGTAAATTATAAATATTCGTTTTGCAATAAATAACGATAGACTGACTATACAGTACAGTACAGTACGATTCGTTTAATTTGGTATAAACTGTTATTTTTCTGGTTCGAATCAATAAAAGTAAGCGATTTTTAAAACCGAACATTACTGTTAGTTTCGTTAAGGAATTTTTTCCATGTTTAGTGTTTGAAAAAAACTCGATACCAAATGACGTACGATGAATTTACCAAACAGTTTATCGGTTTTTATGTTATATAAAAACACGCTTAATTAAAATAACGTTAATTCAATATTTAATTCTTTGTTTTATGTTTAAATTTTTGATTTAATTCTTTAACAAATGAGAAAATTTATATATATATTTTTTTAATCCTTCGCACTTATTATAAAACAATTTTTTAAATATTACAGTGCTTTGTAATGATTGAAAAAGAAAAGAAAGAGACAAACATTTTGTACAATAATGTTTTACAAAATTTAGAGAAAATAATTTATTAAATATATGTACTGTACATATTACAAAATGAATAGATAAATTCTAAGAAAGCGAAGGAGAATGACAGATATTATTGAAAAATGCTGAAAAATAAAACCTAACATGGAAACATTTAAGCAAATAAATTACTAGTTGTGATATATTTGGCATATTACTCGTATTGTAGGGAAAATAATAAAGTTTTGTATGCATTGATGAGAAATTTTAAAATGTTTAATAAATATCTATATTATTTAGGCTATATTTAAAATTGTTATTAGTATTGTATCGTTTTATTCTAATTTATAGTTAATTATTGATGACACATGGAATAGTTTATTTATATTGTCTCTATCTCTCCCTCTTTCTATGCTTTATTTTAAATTTATTAAAATATTTTAATTGGATTTTATTAGTATAATTTAAATAATTCTTAATATTAATTTTACTATATGCAATATTAAAGAAGATATGACCAAATGAGATAAAACGAATTAGTTAATAACTGAATTAAAAATCCCATTATCAAACTATACAATGAAATTATCTGAAATTTTTCATGATCCTTAAATTGCAGCCCAAAAAGAATATGTACTTATAATAAACTCATAAGGTCTGACCAAAAACAATTTTATATCGAAATTTATTCTAAATACATTCAGTAGTCTGGAAGGATTCAGTCGTATTCATGCGATACTCGAACAGACAGACATGTAGTCTGTATCCTTTCCAGGACTATCCTTAATATATGTAATGTATAAAGTTTCATAGAAATCGCTTCGGCCTTTTTTACGTGATGCTCGAACAGACATCTATATGATCTATGTAAATTTTTAACTCAGAAGGCAGAAAAAGAAATGATAGACATACATTTATCAATAGAGTAAATAATAACATTCACTTATAACTAATTTCATAGAAAATCGAGCAGTCTAAGACGTTTATGCAATATAATCGTGTAAGAATAATTGAATTTCTTTCGCATTTTGTTATTTTCAGCATGATAAAATAGTTATTAACGTATAAACTATTTTTGGAAGTAGTTATACAATAATTTTAACATTCTTATAGCTTCTTCAAATTTGATAATTAAGATAAATGTTTTATTAGGAGAACATTTAACTTGTTTCCAACTGGAACAGATAATGCAAAATTAATTTCAAATGGTATTTAATCATATGAATGAAATTAATTTTACAATAAAGATTATAAGAATTGGAAGAACAGAAGTTTGCCTTTTATGTGATCAGATTAATCAGATTTATAACATTTCATTATAATACTGTCGCCCATATAACCACACCTATCGTACTGATTGATTTAGGTTCGAATTCGATCTGGATATTCGTGATATATTCATGAAGTTAGAGCATTATAACTCGTCTCCATTCACGTACAGTACGAGTATATGGGAGGGGTGTCTGTTCGATTGCGAGCCAGACAACTCATAATATTAGTAAAATTGAGGCCAGGTATATAGCACAAGCATTTCCCTTCTCTAAAAAAAAAAGAAAAATAAAAAATTATATTTCACTATATTCAGAATGAAAATTTTTAAATTTTATTTTATGTATATTTTATTAAAAAGTCATCTTTATTCTTTGTCGTAATCCATCATCTGTCGAAGATGATAAATGTTAATATATCATTTCAAATAAAAGAATTTTCAATTTTCAGTTATTATTAATTTTAAATTTTATTTAAAATGAGTTTGAATAATATTATTTAGATTGAATCTATATAAATTTTTAAGTCAGAGGGCCCATTATTGAAATTTAAAATGAAGTTGTGCGGGTTGTCATAGATATAATTTTATTTTTATTTTTATTACAATGTTAAAATATGATGTTTCTTAAAATTAACACAGAAATCATTTATAATTTACATGTAGATTATAATTAATTAAAATATTTATTCATACAGCGGAAAAATTACATTTAAAAATTATGTGATTTTTTTTTATCTTTCCGCCCTGTTGGCATTAAAAAGGCTAAGCCCATAATAGGGGCTATGGATGGCCCGTAAAAAATTCCTGGGATAGCTGGCCCAGATTAAAACCTGATTCCATGTGTTCAAGCCTTAAGATGGGTTCACACTAGGACTGTCAGAGCCGTTTCATCAGTCGAAACCATTCGATTGTGGCTCGAAGGACAGACGGAAAAGCGGCGTGTGCATGCACACTAAGCAGTTCAGTCTTCAAACGGTTTAAATCTTATCTAATGAGATACACTGTCATATGTAATGTCTTACCTCCTCTATTATCATTTCATTAAAATTTATCCTTTCCATTTTGTTCAAACTCTGTTTTAACTTTCGTTCCACGAGATATATTATAGTTATTAGATGATTCCGCGTTCTAAAAAATCATAAAAATGTCTCTAAAATTTATTGAGGTTTTTTATTTAAGGAGCTAGTTTTGCTTGTGTTATTATATGTATTTTACCTTAAGTTTAGTTATAATTAAACGTTTAAGGGAAAAAAAGCATCTATCCATTAATTAATATAAAAATATTTATATTTAGGGTATGTATTTACGACATAAAATATATAATTATACATTTTACCAATTCATATTGGTATAATTTTATTAATATCTTATTTGAAAAAAAAACTAGTGATTTCTCAGTGAAAATAGTGTAAAATTAGTTAACCGTAGTGGCAGGAGGTCCCAATTGGGATCTCTTGTCCCTACGTTAATTGATATAAGAACTTCCGATACAAATCAGAAGTCATGTTATTTCAATTCAAAAATTTTCCCCTGAAAGGTGTCAGACGACCAGAGAAATCTATTGTATGATGTACAAAAGATTCCACGAAAGGAAAAGTATGATGTATAGGGGCAAGCCACTACTAATTTGAGGTGGATAATATATATTTTAAATGAAATAAATTAAAAATA